CTTGGTATCAATTGGTTAGTTCTCTATTATTTTGTTGAATAATAATTTCCAAATCTAGGAAACTAATGATGTTGTTAATACATGTCTCAACAGTGAATTGTAACTCTGAACAATAGCTATTGAAAATGTTTTTAGTGTAGTTAATATATTAAGTAGGCACACGTATGAGGATATCACCCACATAGCGTAAATACAGTGGAACATTAAAACATAACTTCTTTAAGCATAACATTTATACAAAATTTATGTAAGGAAACATTGATTTTACGATTCAAGAATTTCCAAAAATGTTTTACTACGTTTATGATTTAGGTTTCACTACTATTAGTAAATAAGCTAACTACATATATACTAATCAGTGAGTAACCAGGGAAAATGACAACGTTTTTCAAATTTATTTCTTAATTCATAACTATTTTTTATGTGTGACTTTGACAGCGGAATATTATTGATAAAAGAATCAGAAAGAAATTTAGAGAAACTATAAGTTAGTAAATCAAAAATCGAGACAATGATACGGACAGAAAAGTTTTTTTGTGTATTTTTATCAGTCTGTAGCACTAGGATAAGTCTTTTTTATGAATACCTTTATCAAACTTATTTGCTTCATCAAAAATACCGTATTGATCCCACTTGCTTACAAACCTTTTAGTATCTTAAATTAATTGCTTTAAGGGCTTATTTTCTAACTAAAATTATTATTCATTATCGTATATAAGAATATTAGAAATTAATCTTATTTTATCGATGGGTAAGTATAAATGTGAGTAATTGAATTCGTCTACATTTTTTCATCTAGTACGAGATTACTAAGGCAACTCAAATTTTTCAGTTAAAACTACGTTTCGTACAAAAATTGTCATACATTTGTGATAAAAATTGTTAACTTGGCAATCTCGACTAGATGGGGAAATGTCAGTAAATTCAATTCCTCGCATTATTATTTATTATCACTTAACATTTCTTCTACTTTATTCACGTAAATTTCCAACAATGATAACAGTGACTTGTCTGCTCGAGTAACTAAATTGTGTTTATTATTTTAAAAAAAAGCTCGTGTTCATTTTAAATTGTCTTGGAGAACTCCATCATTTAAAGAAAGATGAGTAGATACATTACGATCATTGTTACTGATAATTCTAAGTAGTTCTTTTTTAACTGTCTCGAATTCTTCCAAATATTTGAGTAAATGTTCAAAATTATTAAAAAGATGAAAATAATCACATTTATTAACATTCGAAACAAAATTAAATTCATCATTCAACTCTAATGTACTAGGACAAAATCCGGTAGCGTTGTATCAGAAAGGTTAGATAGCCAGTTTTTTTTATTTCACTGACACTTCTAGCTGGAAGTCTATCGTATATACCTTTGTGCTCGGATTTTTTATGTGGAGAAGGGCATCGAATTGGATATCTAACTTATAACGATATTCGTGAAAAGTGATATTGAACTTTAATTCGTAATAATTAATAAATAAATTAATTATATAAGATTCAAAGGCATTGTTCAAGATTTTATTTGTAATTGTTATAAGTCTCTCGTTAAAGCAATTAGGAAAGACGATAAACTTGATGTACATGTTTTGCGGAGCCTCTTTCGTTCACAGTATTAGATGCACATGTACTCTTTATGACTACGTAGTGTGTACATTACGATTTTAGATCTTTTTTGTAAGAGTCAGAGATATCTTATACACTAAACTAAATTTTTATTTATAGTAATTTATTAAAATTTGTATTGTAAAGAACTTTTATTACTCATAGATTTTTGTATGAGATGATGATGAGTCCTGGCGTGCTCTTGGGATGAATCATAAAGTAATATTTTCTTTTTCTTGATGGAATCAACTTGATCGCCATAATGCTACCAGGGGAGCGCTGCTTGGCAAGTTCATCTTCTTCGCTGTTACAATGCAATAGAGTTATTTAAAGAAGTAGCTTAACACTGTTTTACATGATCTTATTAGTATGCTAGATATAACTTAGTTTTATTTTTTATTTTGACAAAAATAATTAAATATTTATTAAATACGAGAATTAAGATTCAGCTATGAGAATCATTCTAAAAACTTAAATGTAATGTGTACACTGTATTAATATTATTGAAGTGAAACTTCTATAGCCGCGTATTGGAAGTCTAGAGGCGAGTAAAACTGGCTGATGCAACGCAAAAGTGTCCATCCGGTTCTTGGTGGCGAGGGGCGAGCGGAGAGCGGGGAGTGGGGTTTGGGAGAGAGTAGCGCGCACGCGCATCAGAAGAAGCAGTCGGGAACTATACCTATATATACCGTATACCGTTGAGTAGATGTGCGGGGGGAGAGGATACGCTACGATGACGTACGACAACAGTCGACAGTTGACAGAGAGAATTGAATTGAATTGAATTATTTATTAAGTACCAAGGACTCAGAGGCCCTATATAGCACATGACAATTTCGTTACATACAGTACAGGTACATTAGAGCAATAGCGTAACTATTATCCGGAACACAATTAGGTGGTAAATTAAAACGTGAATAAAATAAAATAAATGAATAAATAAATAACAATAATACCAACAACTAATGACAACAGATTAGTAAATTCGCATACATAGAACAAGTAGTGTAATATAAAAGATACAACAAAAGACAAATAAATAAGCAAATAAATAAATAACCAAAAAATAATTAGATAAAAAAGATAGAACATGTCAAAGCTAAAAAGTGATAAATTAAATTAATAAATTAAAATTAAAAGGTGGTTTCGTGTATAAAAAAACGATCCCGCAGAAGAGTGAGAGAGACGAGACGATGAGTCACTGCGTTGATAAGACAGGCCGACGAACATGCCTCGTGGCCAAGTCAAAATGGCCGCCTAGCGATCACGATGCGAGAAAGATGTTGAGAAGGCCCGTTTTCTAATACCATCAGCTCCCTCCCGCCACCACAAATCCGGCTCGAAGGACCAAATGTTGCGGATTGACTTGTGTGTCAATTGAGTGAACTGTATAATTTTATTTGTAGCTGGACTTGTAGCGAAAGGAAAGAGGAAGATGGAAGTTGCAGGTGCGCAGCACATGGAAGGCGCTTCTCATAATAACAAGACACTACACTTTTAACTATTAAAGAACTATATTATTATAAAGTAAAGAGGAACACATNATATATATATCCGAAGCCGGAACGTGTGTGTGTGTGTGTGTGCGTGCACGTATGAGAAGGTAATAAGGTATAGAAGCGTAGAGGTCTGGCACTAGAAAGTACTGATGAAACGTATAGAAACCGTTTACCATAGCCGTAGTCAGTATAGAGGTAAGCAGACTACGAGAGTGTGCGTTTACTGTGTAGAGTACATACGTGCTGATTGTATATATATGTATATATATATATATATTGTAAGTAATATATTTGCGTTTTTTTCTCTATTCTTTTTTACAGTCACTGATTTACAGTCAATCTAAAATTGGTAATTTGTGTGCTATTGAATATACTTTACCGATCGGATTGACAATTATAATGGTTTCCATATATATTTCTATAAATCAGACTGTTCAAAAAATCATTGAGTTCATCCATAAATCATTACTAAAGTATACTGTTAGAGGTGCTGCATTACTTAGTAAAAATTATCATACAATTCCTATTATTCTTGCTGGAGATTTCAACATAAATTTTGCATCAAACGATTCATTGCCATTAATTGATTTTCTACGAGACGAATTCGAATTAAACATGGTTAATAATCGTAATCAAGCCACAACTAGACATGGGACCACTATAGATGCCGTTTTTTCCCGATATATTGAAAAAATAGAATCAAAATTATTTATTTCATATTTTAGTTACCATAGACCGATTGTTTCT